GTACGAGTAATTTGAGACATTTATCATGAGACAGGTATCATGATATAAGTACATTGGTCAGGTAACAGGTATGGAACATATCACAGGCATAGTTCAGGATTTCATGTTGGCATTTTAGCATGAAACAATTATCATGATACAAGGTAACATATACGGTAGGATACGGTGTTCCAGTGGAACCCTGTCGGTCATCTGCACCTTATGACTTCTGATCCCCACGGTACGGTCTGGCCATCGCCTTATCCCTCCAGTGGTAATACTCGAGTATACCGAAACGGTGGCCCAGGGTTCCAACCTATCCGACCGAGCCCAGTCCTGGCTCGAGTAGGTCAGTAACCAAGGGCAGGGCCCAAGTTCAGCTTAGAGCTTACAACATGCACAGGTAACCAAGTAATTCGACAAAAGGTAAAATTCATCATTTGAGTAGGTCGAGTGAGGTAAAGTACACACTCGCCTAATAATGATGGACAGCTTCATATAACATGTGATTCATGATAATCAAGTAATCAGGTGGTCAAGTAACCAAGTAAGTTGGTGATCACGTAAGCAGATAACCAAGTAAGCAAGTAACCAAATAGATTAGAAAACGTTAAGTAAACACGGTTAACGGTAAACGGTAAACGGTTAACGGTAGTAATTACGGTTAATTGGTAGACATATGTCATTTCAATAGGCCGCCATTGGCCGTTTTTCACTTTCACCACGTAAGAGTCGAGGAGATTTACTCCAACCGACTTATGCTTCCATAGCATAATTAATCATATAAACACATCATGTAAATATGCTCTCCAAACATTTCATATCTAGTATTTCAAGTAATCACATAAGTATGCTCTTTAAGCATTTCATATCGAATAGTTCAAATATACCTACTTCAGGTGTTTCATGTCGAGTAATTCAAGTATACATTATTCAAATGTGCATGAGTGTGGTAAATACTTAATGACCATGGGTTAAGCATGTCATAGACTTATTCCAATTACGTATTCCTATATGGAACACTCACCTAGTCAAAACAAGCGAGTAGTTCTTAAACAAGCGTCTTAGGTGTCCGCTCCGAGTTCCTCTGGGAGATTCCCTCGAGTGCCTGAGCAAACAATAATCAACTACCACTCAAAATCATTCTAATTATCGAGGAAAATTGTACACTAGTACAATCTAAGAAATTAACGCAGAGACGAGTCTAAGAGTTCGTGTAACTCGAGGTTCAAAAGTGGTTTTAAAATACAAGACAAATCTGATTTCCATCTTTGAAATCAAATGTAAAACGATCAAATGATATTGAAGGAAAATGGAGGGTTTGAAACCCTTAGTTTCCTTTAAGTTAGAAAATTCCAGATTTAACAAGCAATATTTGAAAAATCATATTTCACTCTCCACAAGTCCAAAATTGGAAAACTTGGTACTGTTGGAATCCTCTTTCAAAGTACTAAAAGTTCTTAGAAGACACTTTTCCACGAATGTCAGTGAAAGGCACTCAAATTTTAGCTCAAAGTTGGTAACTTGAATTACCAAGGCAGATTTAAGTTGGTTTTTGGCCAACTTTAGAAATTCGGCAAAATTCACTTGTTTTGAACTAACCTTTGAAATTTGGAAATCAATTAGTGTTGCAATCCAAGAGTATAACAAAACAAGCGGAACGAGAAACGGAGTTTCGAGCACCAAGATATAGTACCTCCAAGTTGCTGAAAAAGTTAAGACTGTTGGGCTATTTTCCAGGTTTAAAACTAGATTTGAAATATCATTTGGTCATCAAGTTGGCATTAGAAATACATCAAACTTGGTACACTAAATCTTCCATGTGTGAACAATATTTCTACTAAGTTTCGTACAAAAACTCTCACGGTAAGGTAGTCATTAAAACAACCAAAGTTTATGAAGAGTTTCAAGGCTAAACTACCTTCTCACTTTTCTTTCGTTTACAAACTTTTTGTACCATGAAATCAGTTCCAAATCTCTCCATTATTGAAACCAAGAGTTCATAAACATCCACTGAGCAATTTAAAGACCATTGACATCCAATTCTAGAAATAAAACTCTCCAAATCAGATTTGACCATTTGGCTAAGAGAAAACGAAAAGTTTTCCAGATTCGATGAGCGAATTTTGTGACATCATTTGCATATCAAAATGGTCTTAGAATATTACCAAATTTTGTACAATTAAACCTCCATATGAGGATTACTCTTCTATCAAATTCATTTGAAAATTCACACGGGAAGGTAGTTAACTAAACCATCAAAGTTCAGGAAATTTCCCAAGGTAAAACTGTCTTCTAGCTCTTCTTTCCTTTTTAAACATTTTGTCCAAAGCAACCAACCCAAATCTGGTTTATTTGTGAAACAAAGTCCAAGGAACATCTAATATAAAGTTTGGTAGATGTCGGACATCAAAGTTTCCAAAACAACAAGTCCCAAATCATTGTTAGTTACAAATCTGTCCAAGTGGAAAATTCTATCACTGTAGCAGTTTCAAACTTTGGCCACAACTCACTCCATTCAACTTGGAATTGGGCGTGGTTGATGGCGTTGGAAAGCTCTCTTCTAAAGCTGAATTTTCTCAGAAGAAACCATTTTCAAATTCCATTCACAAATAGCTCGTTTTTGAGCATCAAGAAGCAATTTCTGTCCTGTCTCCTGGAGAGCAACGAAACGGGACAGTGATATTCAATCGAATGGTGTGGCTCACTCAAGTGGAACCAGAATGTGAAATTGGTACCGATGGAAAGCTAGGAATGTCTAGTTTACAATGCCGCAAACGGCACTTGATTTCGACATCGGAACAAAGAGTTATGGCCGTTACAAAATGACTGCCTGGGCAATACGGGATTCATTTTCCAGTTTTGCTAACTTTGGAAATCAACTCATTTGACCAACCAAATCATGTTATTTTTCAATGAACTTTTGTACACACTTACAATAATAGATAAACAACATAATCAATTCATTAGAATCTCAAAATCTGGCACGAAAACGGTCGGACAAGGCAGGGGTAAAACGGTCACTTTTGCTCCAAGCACCTCCTTTGATTTTCTACCAACAATACAACATTAATCTACTAATATAAGCACTAAACCACCATTAATTTCATCATCCAACATCAAATCAGCAACAACCCAAGAGTGGGAGTTCATACAGCCCACTTTCACATTTTATACCATAAACAAGACTACCCACATGATTATATAACCTTATATGTGCAATAAATCTTACAAAAACTAAGATCTATGGGTTGGATGATTTGCTACCTTCTTGGATGATTAGATCAGAAATTTTGGTCACTCTTTGCTCCAGAAAACCGTGGCTTTTCAGCTCCCTTTTGCAGCTCAAAATACTCCTCAAGTGTTAAGCTAAGTGTAGTTCGAATTTGGAGTGAATTGGAAGAGGTTTGGTGAAGATTTGATGGAGGAATTGGAAGAACTCTTGAGCTGTTTTTCTTGCTTTGTTGTTCGGCCAGATGAGGGAGCAAGAGAGAGAAATTGTGGTCTGAAATGAGGCTTCCAAAGGAAGCTTAATGACTAAGGATTGGGTGCACAAAAGTCAACCGCAAAAAGTGCGCGCACGCGCGCGTTTTGTGCTCGATTCCTCTCGCGTTTGTTTCACTAGTGTACTAAACTTCTAATGCATTTATATTCATATAAATATTATTCACTCTTAATTGTTCCAAAATAAGGGTCTAAAGTTCCTCAATTTAAATTGCGCGTGTGAAAACGCGTATCTCCAATTTAAGCGCAATAACGCGAAACTTCCGAGAAATTCTTATAACGATAGTACTAATAACTATCACTTGAGTATTTAAACATTAAAATGCCTAATTTAGGTCCATTGTACATGTCTCCAATATTTCAAATCTATTGTACTCTCAATCGATCAAGATTTCCAAAGACGTGTTCACTATTTTTACAAAACGAGCTTCCGAAAATTAATTTTTGAAACAAGTCATTTTAAAAATATAATGAAACTATATTTCCATGTAATTAGGTCTCAAGAGCTTAGAAAATAATATTCGGAGTAAAAGACCAAATAAATAATTAAATAAGCTAGAAATAGGAGATTAAATAAGTAAATTTTGCGAGTCCTCACAAATTCGGCCTCTAACCATGATGAATAATGCCGGGCAGAATGAAGGGTAATGAAACCCTAACTTTCCAATTTTCCTTTCAAAACAGAAGTTTTCTGCAATTAACCACCCATTACACCTTCTAGCTCCCTTCCATATCATTTCCAATCATCATACATGGCCACATAGTAATAATTATAAAACTTCACCAATTCAACCAAAAATCAAGAAATAACACCAAAAATCATCACTTCAACTACCACAAATCACAAATTTAACTTCATTAGGTGGAGGAGAGGGGTTCCTTCACTACTCACCTTAGTAACCCAAGAAAAGAGACCACTTGGCACCTTAAGCTTCCAAACAACTTCACCAATCACCTCACAATCACTAAATGGAGGGGTTTTATGGAGTAATTGCAAGGTTAAATGGTTGGATTGTTGAACTTGAGCAAGATGGAAGCAAGAATCTTGGAGAGTTTTCTTTCTTTCTTTCTTGAGGGAGGGTCAGCCAAGCTTGCAGAAATTTGAGTGCTTTTTGGGTCAAAATTGAGTATTAGTAAAGGTAAGAAATAATGGTCAAAGTCCAAGCTCGAATGAAAAATCGACACGTGGCACCTTTTAAGTCTAACACTTATCCTTTTGTCTCTCCAATACTAATCCATATTGGTAACTTCTAATTATATCCTAACACCTAGTAATTAAATCCCAGTATCCCAAACTTAACCTAATTGGCCAAATTTTTCCGAACTTTTCGCACTAGTGGGTCCCACGTCCGATATATACTCTTAATTTTTCAAAAACTACGCGATACTAGAAAAATGATTTAAAAACCATATTTACTCATAAAAATTATTTTTTTAAGATTTTCCAAATAAGAAAATATGGAAAAACGTGCAATTAAAAGAAAATAAAACCTAGCAATTAAGAAAATTACAAGTTCTCACACAGAGTCACTCTGATACCAGTCCAAAGTCCATATAACCCTTCTTAACGAATCCACACCGCTATTGGCAAAGATAATAATGTCGTCAGCAAAGCCCAAATAAGACACAGAAGGGCAGTGCCGCAGTACCTTATATCCCACGACACATGTCTGGGCAACAAGAGCATTTAAGGCCCAAGAAAACACCTCTGAGCTAAGGATAAAAAGTGCAGGCGATAACGGATCCCTTTGGCGCAACCCTCAAGACGATATGAAAAATCCATATGGCACCCCATTCACAAGTACCGAGAACCAAACATTAGAGATCAACCTCCAGACCATGTCAATAAACCTTTCATCAAAGCCAAACCGTCGCATAACTGCAATAAGGAATGGCCAGGAAACCCTATCATATGCCTTAGCCATGTCTAACTTCAGGGCCAGATTCCCCCCTTTACACTTCCTTCCCATCTTCGACATTAGCTCCTGAGCTAGCAAATAATTATCTGTAGTTGACCGCCCTTTAACAAAGCCACTCTGCTGAGGAGAAATGATTCGAGGCAACACACCAGACAACCTCCCTACCAAGATTCAAGAAATGACTTTATTCAAAAAATTACTCGCACTAATAGGTCGAAATTGCGTAAAATCCTGAGGATTCATGACCTTGGGTAGGAGAACAATAGATGTAACCGTAATGAACCGTGGTAGCTCAACACCACATAAGAAACTCACAATCGCCATGTAAACATCGTGAGCCACCACCTCCCATGCCATCGTAAAGAATTTTCCTATAAACCCGTCTAGCCTAGCTATACTATCCCCATCCATATCAAATATCACCGCCTTTACCTCCACCAAAGAGGGGACTTCCTCCAATCTCATGTTCTCGATATCATCCCCGAGGTTAGGGATAACATGCAGAAGCTGAAACTCGGACACAGAGTCAGTCGAGAATAAGTTACTAAAATACCGGACCGCCTCCCTTCTGATCCCTTCATCGTCCATCACCCAATCTCCCACAGAATCATGAATCTTGTGAATTCTGGATTGAAACCGGTGTTGCTTTACCACCGAATGAAAAGAGCTTGAATTACAATCACCGTGTTAGAGCCACTTTGTAACGCCCCCACTTCTCCCCAAGGTGAACAAAAGGGTATCCGCGGGACGCCTGCCTACCTCTCGCCGGGACTCGGTACAAATCCCGTTCAAGTTTAATACAATACTAGTCATTCACGACAAAATAAAGTAAGATAGTGCGGAAACCTTCAAGCTTATCAGTATATAACAATTAATACAAGCCTACTAAAGAAAAGTCGTTTCCACAGTTGAATATCCAAGTCTTACATCAAAATCCCAAAAGATACAGCTTCCAAAATCAAATTCTAAACAAATACATTCACAATTCTAATCAAATGAAGCATCAAGTAAGCTTTTCCAGAATTCCTCCCATTTCAGCTCCTGTTAAGGAAAACAAATCTAACGTTGTGAGCGGATGCTCGTGAGGCCAAGAAAACATGCAAGGCAAGTAATTCAATAGCAATAGCACTTACACAATAGTGAAAACTATAACATTCAAGAAATTCACAATTTAAAATAAACCCCCTTGAGTAGGATGTAGGAGCTCTCAGGAGTTAAATCTTTGTTTACTTTACCCAAGTTCAATCCAATACCTTCTCGTGACAACACCCCATCACCCGGGTAGATAATTAAATTCATAGCACTTTAAATATTCCATTTATGATTCTGAGACGACTTGAGAGGCACCTCCCACCCAAATCGGTGTGGTACTTACTATCGCTCAGTTTATAGGTCTGAGACAATTCGAGAGGTACCTCCCACCAAATCAGTGTGGTACTTGCTATCGTTCAAAGGTCGATGAGACACCGCTCCAATCGACTTAGAATGCTTACTGGTTCTGAGACGATTCGAGAGGTATCTCTCACCCGAATTGGTGTGGTACTTGCTATCGTTCAGAGGTTTAGGGTACTGAGACGACTCGAGAGGTACCTCCCACCAAATCGGTGTGGTACTTACAATCATTCAGTGGTCGATGAGGCATCGTTCCAATCGACTTAGCACGGTTTAGGGTACTAAGATGACTCGAGAGGTACCTCCCACCAAATCGGTGTGGTACTTACAATCGTTTAGTGGTCGATGAGGCATCGCTCCAATCGACTTATGCAGCCATAGCATAATTAATCATTTTATTCAATCATTCATTTCATTTCAATCAAGTCATTCACGATTCATTCATTTCAATTCAATCAAGTCATTTATGATTCATGTAACGGCCCTACCTCCCTCTAGGGCTTACCCCAAGGTTCGGCGGACCACCTGCCCAGCTCTCGCCAGGACTCACTCACTCGAATCACGTGCATACATCCATGGACCGTAATTAACATCGCAATTCAAGCTTAGAATTTACATTGATGAAAATCAAGGTACAAAACCTCAATATATCCAAACTGGTTCAAAGCGGATACAATCCAAATACAAAACATTCTATTCGAGGAATAGCGCGAGTACAAGACAAAAGGCAAAAGTCAAACAACTAGACTACGCTAGTCTTTACACATCTCACGCCTCGCTCGTACCCCCTGTAAGGAAAACAAATAGCGTGGAATGAGTTAAAAGCCCAGTGAGATTCCAAATAACAAATTGACCATTTTAAAAGTACGAGTATCAACATAGCAAGTTAATGGCATCAAAATTCATAAGAGTGGACAATAATATTTCAAGTAGCAAATTTCCAAATGATCAAGTATAAAGTGCTTTTGGTTTTCAAAAGGAACAAGAATCCGATAAGCAATAATCATTGTCAAGTATAAGGATACAAAAGGCTCTCAGGAGCCAAATTCCCATGGCATCTCCAGAGCTTGATCAAGTAACAGTTGACACTCCGTCAACTTTCAAGTAAGTAACCAATCCAGTAGAACACCACTTAAACGACTCTCCATCTACCGTTCAAACCCCTAGCTGGGCCCAAAATCCTCAAGAAACACGGGTGGTAATACTCGAGTATATCGGTTAGCCGAGGAGATATCACTCCACTCGACAAAACAAGAGACCCAGGGTTCGTTACCCAATCGACCAAACCCTTGCCGGCTCGACTTAAGTAACTTGCCACCGGGTTTCTGGAATTCCAGGAAGTGCGCGCATCATAAACAAGTATATCAAGTCAATTGCAACAATAAACGAGTATATATTACATAAGGGCAAGTGCGATAAAGTACACTCTTGCCCTAACAATTCACGTATATAACATGTAATCATATTGGTCACGTATCAAGTTCAAGTATCAAGTTTAATTCGGTATTTGAAAGCACTCACCAAAAGATATAGTGCCTTTACTGGTCACTTTCAGGTTATACTCCGGGTTCGGAGTCCAAACCTGCGATAAAACTCAGTTTGAGAACTTTGAAACATGACTAAGATTCGAAACTTAGACGTTTCGTTCAATAAAAATCAAGAAATTGGAATTCACTTGGAGAGTAGTCGTGAAACACTTGCTCGCTTTTTAAACGATAAAACTTTGTAACATTTATACTTGAAAATGCCATGCGAGTCGAAAGTACAAGGAAAACATACTCCGAGCAATCATTATTTCATTCCTCAAGGGTACAAGTTCGGCTAAGTCCTTACTTATATACCTCGGAACAAGAAGACTCAAGTACCCTAGATGGTTCAAGTGATATTCATCTCAATTCTACCCAAATTGTAAGTGTATTTCTATAGTTCTCGAGCGTAAATTTAGGCAGCACGCCCTTTGTGTTTACCTAATTTTCCAGCCATTTATGGCTTCATTCTTTTTCTCAACCAAACCCAAGGTTACCCATAACACAATTTCCTTTCAATAGCCATTCAATAGGCTCAAAACAATACAAGAACAAGAAATCAAGCTAATAACGAGTGCAGAAACGACGTTTACAAAAGACAGTTTTGACGGGTTTTTGCGGAATGGGCACATCGAAGGCTACGCTTTTTGGATTGAGGTGAAACTTATACCAATTCAAATCTAAGATGAAGGCCTACAATTTTCATGAAGAGCACTTAGTCTAATTTTTAGTGTAACCTAATCAAATTCCCAATTCATATAATCTGGTTTCAACTATTCGGCTAATCAACCGTACTGAATTCAAATGGCCATATCTCAGTCTACCAAGGTCCGTGTAAGGCGTTCTTGGTGGCGTTACAAAGCTAAGACAGGGTACTAAAACTTTCATGTTTTGGAAAATGGCTAAATCCAAACGGATTATAGTGAATAAACACAATCAAATAGACTAAACTGTCCATGCGGAACTCTGGAATATAACCCAGATCAGCGAGGGTATTTTCATCTTTTCACAAGCTACATTACTCTGATTGAGCTGAAATTTTGTAGGCACCTATAAAATACCATTCTATAAAACTTTAATGTTTTAGGCCAAGCCTAATTCAGCCTCTAACTATGAGCACTAAAACCGGGCAGAATGTAATCCTGAAATTCCAGAAATCTGGAATTTTTGAAATCTCAAGTCAATCCTTCCATTTTCTTGCTTCCAATTCTACCAAAGCCCCTTATCTACTCTTATATACAACATATACTAAATATAAAACAAGGTTAGGCAGAAATTAATCAAACCCTAGCTTGCATATATCATCCAAGAATCATCACAACAACTTGCTTATCTTGTAATCAAGCTAAAACATGATCTAAATAACATCTTAAACCAAAATTTAAAGGAACAAGGATCATGATCAGATTTTTATACCTCAAAGACAAGGCTTGGAAGAGTGATACTTCACCCACTTTGAAATTTCTTAGTTCCTCAAGCTTCCCAACTCACAACCCACACTTTAATCGGTTTAGAATTGGATTTTCTCACTTGGTTGAAGCAAATCAAGAAGGAAATTTGTTTCTCTTGCTCTCTTTTCTCTCTCTCTTGTCTCGGCCCTAAGCAAGAAAAAATGAGGGAGAAAGAGCTTAGTTTGTCTTATAAGAAGGTAAGAGGATTAGGACTAATTGTAACCACAAGTTGGGCCAACACTTGGCTCAACTTTCACCACAAAATTTTCTTTTCTTTCCTTGCATTTTTTTGTCCCAATTTTCGGCCAAGAGATGACCATGAGGGGGGGGGGATATTTTGCTCAATTAGTAATGAGCTTGTAGGGTAAGAAAGTGGTGATCAGGTGGTGGTTAAATCGGTAGTACACGGTACGCACCGGTTCGCGCCATTTTTCCTTAAATTACCCGTACTAGGGTTTTTAATTTCTTTTCACTAACTTTTATTCATTGCTTCTAATCACATATTATTTCTCACTTAAAAGTCACTTTTAATCACCAAATTTGATCCTTGCTCCGTACCAAAAAATCATCCGGTGAAAAATCGCAAAAACCCTAATTTGCTCCAATCTTGGAAACGAAGAGTGAAACCCTACTTTCTAGGTTTATTTGCACTTATTGTGAAATGACTGGGTGGTAGGGCTTTAATAAATGAATAATTTCCAAATAAAAGAAAATTTTTAAGAAAAACGTGAGAGATTTTACAATTCCAGTAATTAAAATTAGGGTTTCAATTAAAATATGAGAGATTTAAGAAAACCGGTTAGTCACAAGTAAACTAGAGTTTTTGATTAAAAATTTTAGGGTTTCTAATCTTTTAAAACAAAATAAGGTTTTAAATCAAACTCAAAGAAATACACTTTAGTATCTTCTTTACAAACAACCTCCTAATATTCGGGGTGTCACAATTCATTCAAATGAGACCGAGTGTGGTAAGATACACACTCGACTCAGTATTTTCGAAATCTCCAATCACTAATAACAACTAAGCACATATCAAGTTTACATACACTTGACACTCACCAAGTAATTCAAGAAGCAAAGACAAGTGATTGTTTAGGCGTCTTTCGTGAGATCCTCTTGCAGGTGCTCTTGAGTGCCTGAGCAATTAATAATGAACTATTACACACTATCACTTAAAACCCCTAATTATCGAGGAGGATTGCACTAGAGTACAATCTAAGAAAATCTCATGAAAATGAGCCTTAATTACTCGCAATTAAAGGCTCAAAAGTGGGGTTTTAAAACACAAGAGAAATTTGATTTTCATCTTTGAAATCAAGTGTAAAACGGTCTATCAATATCGAAGAAAAATGGATAGTTCGAAACCCTCAATTTTCTTTAAGTTCGAAAATTTCAGATTTGTTGAGCGATCCTTGAAAAATCGTATCTCACTCTCTGTAAGTCCAAAATTGGAAAACTTGGTACTGTTGGAAACTACTTCCAAAGTACAAAAGTTTTTAGAAGACACTTTACTATGATTCCAAATGGAAGACATTCAAATTTTGGGTTCAAAATGCTGTTTTGAATACTAAGGCAGTTTTTGGGGTTGGTTTTTGGCCAAAATTGGAAATTCAGCAAAATTCACACAATACGAAGTAGACTTTGAAATGTGGAACCCAATTAGAGTTACAATCAAAGTTTAAAAAAAAACAAGTGGAACAAGAATCGGGGTTTTGAGACTAAGATATGGCGGCTCAAAGTTACCCAAAAGTTGGGACTGTTAGACCATTTTCCAGGTTTAAAACATAGACTTTGAATCTTTGGTTGAGCATCGAAATAGACTCAGAATGGCACCAAATTTGGTATGATTACACTACCATATAAGGGTTATTCCTCTGTCAAATTTTATACAAAAATTCGTTCGGGAAGTTGGTTAACAAAACCATTAAAGTTCCACAATTTGCTAAGGCAAATCTGCCTTGCACTTGCGTTTTCCTTTTCTCAAACATTTGGCCAATGAAAATTCCTCGAACATGATTTATTTATGAAGACAAAGTCTAGGAAACATCCAAAATACATTTGGTAGGTGATTAACACCAAGGATTTCGAATAACAAGTCCCAAATCAAGATTAGTTATAAATCAGTCCAGAATTAGGGTTTTCTTTCACGAAGACAGCTTTGAAATCCAGCCACAACTCACTCAATTCAACTCGGAATTGAGTGTGGTCAGTGGTGTTGAAAACTACATTCATAAGGATACAATTTCTTAGAAGAAATCATTTTAAAATTCTGTCCACAACTAGCTCATATTTGAGCATCAAGTCGCAGCTCAAAACAGGGCTTCCAGTACAGATGAGAAACAGAACATGAAACTTTACAAGGTTAGTACGGCTCACTCAGGTGGAATCAGAGCATGTATTTTATACCATTGGAAAACTGGAAGTGTCTAGTTTTTAATTCCACAAATGGCACTTGATTTTGACTTTGGAGCAAAGAGTTATGGCCGAAAAAGAAATCACTACCAGAGCACTCTGGACACCCGTTTCTAGCTTTGGTAAATTTTTGAAATCTTAACATTTACCCATCCAAATCACGTAATTTTTTGTGAAAACTTTCCACACAACCTATAAAACATATCTACATCAAAAACAAGTCAATTGGACCACAAAAAAGTGCACCAAAGTGCACGGCAATAGCAGGGGCAGAAACGGTAAAATTCCCTTTTCACTTCCTTTGAGCTTTCTTCCACAATACAACATATTTTCACTAGATTAAGCACTAATCCAACATAAATAACATCAAACCTCATCAAATCAGTTCATCAAGCCCTTATGGGATTTCATAGAGCCCACTCACAAGATTTTCAACAATATAAAGCTACCCACATGAATTTATGAGCTTACAAGTGCAAGATAACTTCCATAAACCAAGTTTTAAGAGGTTGATCATTGTTTACCTTTGTGGATGACTAAGGCAGAAAATTTTGGTCCTTGGAAGCTAAAGAAAACCGTGAGAAGCAAGCCCTTTTCTAGCTTAGGTTGATCTCCAAGTGGTTTGCAAAGTGTGTGTAAATTTTGAAGTGATTTAGGTGAGATTTGAGTGGTGAAATGAAGAAGAAATGTTGGTTCTTTCTTCCTCCTTGTGGCCGGCTGCTATGAGTGAAGAGAGAGGGTGTGCTTGCTGAAAATGAAGCTTCCTTGGGAAGCTTAAATGTGTGGTTTAAATTGCCTCAAAAGTCAACTCTCCCTTCGCGCGCTCGCGCGCATTTTGTGCTCGATTCCTCTCGAGTTTGTTTCATTAGTGCACTAAACCTCTAATGCACTTCCATTCATACTATTATTATTCACTCTTAATAGTCTAGAATACATTTCTTAAATCTCCAATTAACCGCTCCATCTCGATATACGTGAACTTTCGATTCGCGCGCGGTACGGCAAAATTTCTAAGGAACTCTTATAACAATGGTATCACTAACTAATACTTGAGGACTTCAACATAAAAATAACTATTTTAAGACTAATGTATAAGTCTTCAATTTCCAAGCTCGTTGTACCCTTGAATCAATTATTATCTCCAAACGCGCATTCACTATTCTCACTAAACGAGCTTTTATAAATTAAATTGGGTAACAAGTTATTTTAAAAATACATGTAAACCATGGTTCCATGTAATTGGGTCTAAAATATTGGAATAAAATATTCGAAGTAAACAGCCAAATAAATATTTAAATGAGCTCGTAATAGGAAGTTAAAATAAAAAAAATTTGCAAGTCGTCACACACTTGACCCTAGCCTTTTGACTCCAAAACTGCTCCTCAACTGCTAACAGCCTCTTCAAGTTAGCCTGAGCACGTTGGAGCTCTAAGTGGGCCTCATCAGATAGATCACTCTGTGCACGCAACTCAGCCGCCGCTACCATCGCTTCTCCCTTCTTAACATTCTCAAACAGATTCCCAAATACCTGTTTGTTCCAAAGGTGAAGAGCCCGGGAGACATTTCTCAAGCACTCCATATTAAGCAATACTCTATCCAACCATTTCCAGGTGCACACTCATTCTAATCTATTATTACACCAAGTGAAACTGCTACCAGAGAAACCTGCATCGAACACCCCCTATGACTCATAAAACGGGAAAGTTCAAGACCCTCCGCTGGCCGAAACTGCCTCCCCACCTTTCTTTTCACTACTCTAGAGAACGAGGTTAAAATTCCCCACAACATACCATGGACCCTGGCTGGGCTTATCCTGTAACAAACCCTCTCAGAGTCGCTGTCGCTCAACCATCTGACACTTGGCATGAGCAAAAGAAACTAGTATAGGGGCAACAAACTGGGGATGCCCCCAACGAATAGAGAAATGCTGATCCGTATCCCCAACTACCTGACCAACAAACGGAGAATTGAAAAACACCCACAATTCCCCAGACGAATTACAGAATACGTAATCAAAGTTCAACCGAATGCGAATTGAATCAGCATCATGCCTAGATAATTTGGGCTTACAAATTCCCACAACTGCTAGCCTATGCATACAAACAAGAGTCTTAAGTCTTCTAAGGTTTGGGGGCTTTGAAATCCCCCGAATATTCTAGAAACATGCATTAATCATGGGATAAAATATGGAAAGAATTTTGAGATTTCTTGGAGACCGACCTTAGCTCTCTGTCCCGACGGGACCGTGGCCCGTATTCCCCTCCCTTTCATCTTTCTCACATCTTGGTCAAGGACGGCAACCTGGTCTAGGTTCAATGTTATAGTCACACTACGCGATTCCTTCCCCTCACCATGTTGTTCTTTGGCACCTCGCGGCGACAAGCCGCCGGCATACACGATGGTCTTTGAAGAGGCTCTCACCAACACCGCAGTAGCCTCCACTTCATCCAGAACAACGTGATCGCCAACCCCTGATGGCACGTCCTTCCCTTCCCTATCCACGGCCGTTGCTTCGCTCGCCACTCGCTCCGCAAGATCCACAATAATCCTGTCCGCAGCTTCAACAACCGTGAGCTCCACCAACTCGACCGCTGCCTCCATGACATCCCGCCCATGTTCGGCCTCCTCCCCTACCTCCAGAACCTGCCCAGCTTCCCCAGCACCCTCATCTTGCATGCCCACATCCAGCTTCTCCTCCACATGATGCCCACCTTGTGAGAACCCGTATTTCCCTAATATTTTTCCTAGGGTTTATTTCCCCTTAATTGCATGTTTTCTGCATTTTCTGGCTTAGGAATATTTTTTTGGTGGATTTTATGAGTAATTATAGTCTTTAGATGAATTTTCTCGTATTGGAGAGTTTTTGAAAAATTAAGAGTATATAATGGACGTGGGACCCACTAGTGCGAAAAGTTCGGAAAAATTCGGCCAATTAGGTTAAATTCCGGATACTGTGGGAAATTTATCGGGTGTTAAGAGATAAGTAGAGTATGTGAAATGATTGATGTGAGAGGAAAAAGAAGGGATAGGAATGCATTAATGGTAGTGCCAAGCGTCACCATTTCATTGGTTTTGATTTAAGATTTACTATTCCATTTTTTTGACTTTTTGACCAAGAGGTTAAATATCTTAAAATTGCTCAAAAATCACCATTTTCTTTCTCCTTGGTGGCCGGCCCTCTTAGCTCAAGAAAGGAAGAAAACTCTTCAATATTTCAAGCTTCCAACTAGCTCAAATCATCTAAACCACTTACCTAAATTAGTTTCTACTCCATATTATCCTTCCATTAGGTGTTAGTAAGTTGATTAGTGAAGTTTTCTTGGAGAGCTAAGGTGTCCTACAACTCCCTCTCTCTTGTTTACTTGGTAAGTGGTATATGAACTCCCTCCTATACTTAATGATGGTTAATTTGTGCCTAATGTGAGCTAAAGTGATGGATTATGTAATTTATTTCTTGATTTGATGTGATTTGGTGAAGTTTTATTTTTTTGAGGAATTTTCTGGTTTAATATGAATGTGATGTTGTGGTCATCTATGATGGTTGATAATGAGGGGTAATGACTCATGTGGGTGTGAATTGGTGATAATAGCAACTAATTTTGGGTTTGGAGTGAATTGTGAAAAGTTAGGGTTTGATAACCCCTAATTCTGTCCGGTTTTGGATAATAGGGTTAGAGGCCGAATTGGACTTTGCTCAAAACATGAAAGTTGTAGGTATTGATGTTTTTGAGGTGCCTGCAAAATTTCAGGTCATTTGGATTAGTGTAGAGTGAGATATGGCGTTTTTACTGTTGCTGTTCTGGGTTGATCAGAATGCGAAAACTGCACTAGTAATTGGCCATTTTGACTGGAATTGGTTTGGATTTTGTTGTTGGTGTCTTCTGATGAAATGTAGCTGGATGTCTTAGCTACCATATGCCCTTGGAATCAATGCATTTGGACCTGTATAGACCGAATTAGACCAATTACAGCATTGTGCGATTTGGGAACCTGCAATTACGGTTCTGGTTTGGTAATCTGCATTTTTGACCTAGTTGTGCTAGGATTTGGACTGAGTGGCCTTCTACATTGTTGTAGCCCTGTCTTTTAGCTTCGATATGGTGGGTCTTACACCCTCATCCGATAAGCGTAGTGCAATTTGTGCCATTACCGCATTAGGAGGTCAAAACTGTTTTTATTGTTGGAACAAATGAGTTACATTTCCTGATTTTCTGGTTTGCTTTAATGCTTATATATGCATATGAAACCTTATTGGGGTTGTGGTTGGCATGGCTTTATGACTCGTTATCGAGTCTCCATGTACTTGTTTGCATGTTTTAGGGCTCGCTCTCATTTCGGTCATTTCCTAGCTAACTTTTGTACTTGTACTACTTTGAGCCTACTGAACGGCTTTTCGGAAATGAGATGACCTTTGGTGTGAAATATTGGGACTGATTTGAGGAAATAATGAAGCCTTAATGGCTGGAAAAGTAAGAATTTTAAGGGAGGTGCTGCCCGATTTTCTAGGCCGTTTGGTTCCTTTAAGTTGGATTTGCCTTTTGGTGGAAATGAAAGGCTTTTGGGTTGTTTGCGCCTAAGTCTTCATGTTACCTTTTCGTTTCCAAGAAAATCATGTTTTCCACATTTGCATTAGTAATTATTTGGCGAGGCATACGACTAGTAGTCGAGCCTCATGTGCATTGTGTTTACTCGATTATGGATGTGAAACCTTCAATTGGTTTATTTTGGTTATTTTAGGGTTTCTTGGCGATTAAGGCCAATCTGAAGTGAAAACTTTTGAAGTTGAGCCGGTGAGTGTACCACTCCCCTCCATTGCTCTTTAACTTGATTTCTGCTCTGTAATCTGTTTAATTTGTTTGAGACGAGGGTGTACTTTATCACACTCGTTCTCTTGTCTGTCCATATGCCAATTTTGAGTGCCTATCTGAATCTGCCGTCTGAATCTGCTATCTGAATTTGCTATTCTGTATCTGTATCTGAATCTGTTATCTGTGTCTGCATCTGTTCGGATTTCTATGACCTATGAGCTCAATCCTGTGGCTAAGTTATTCGAGTCGGGCCGGCAAGGGCCTGGACGATTAGATAACGAACCACGGTAGTCTGTTCGGGGATTTTTGGGTATTGAGACCCTTGATTCCGGTATACTCGAGTATTACCATTTCTGTTCGGTTACGGTGAGCGGGCCCGGTAAAGGGGTGTTTGGTGGACGGAATTCGGTGATAAGAGGGGTCTACGGACGCGTTGGTTCTATATACGTTGACGGAGAGTCAACCGGTTTGGATCAAGTACTGCGCTGGAAATTTGGCTCCTGAGAGCCACCCGTATCCTTCTGATTTGAATCATTGGTTCCTTTGCTTTACATCTGGCATGTGTATCTGATTTGTTAAATGTGAAATGCCATGATTTTAATGCTATCTGTTTGGTACCTCATTGAGCGCAAGCTTACCCCGTTCTGTTCCTTTTGTTTTCCTTACAGGAAAAATAAATACTTTTGGACTGGATTTGATAATCGGTTGCCGACTTGAGCTAGTTCGACATATCTTTTGTATAGCTCATTGATTTGAACCCTAAATATAGTTTTGGGTCCGTTTCTCTTTTGGATTTGGCAAACCGTACATGTATCCACTTTTGAATCACTTTGGTATGCCCCTTTTGGATTGTATATGCTAACTTGTGAGATGTAAATATTTGCTTGACGTTTGGTTGGGTTTTGACGTGTCGGTTCCTCTTCATGGCCGACTCCGACTTTGTTTTTTTTTTATTTTGTGGGTTCGACTTATTTACACGCGGTTGTATGACCCGAAAAGTATTAGATCGCGCTAATCTGAACCGTTAGTCCTGGCGAGAGCTGGGCAGGCAATCCGCTAACCCCTTTGGTTCGCCTTAGGGGAAAGTGGGGCTGTTACAAGTGGTATCAGAGCCACTTCGCGTGGTCTCTGCGCGGAGTGAGACTGGGCCAAGTGGTGTTGTGGTCCTAATTTCATGAATATGTCTAAGTGCTCGTTTGAGCATAAGTTATGAACCGGGAATGTGATAAGTGTACGAATCATTATCATGGGACTCGAGGAAGTTAGGTATGTATGTCGGGTAGGAATCCTTAATAAAGATGGTTTACTCTTGGGACCGGCCGGCTCGAGTTGTGAATTATCTTAGATGGGATTCTTGCGCCCGGATACGAAAGATATGAGGGCCTAGGTTAGAAAGGATTTGATGAACTAGAAAGGCCATTCCTCGGTGGATCGTCTATGTTTGTGCTTGACTTAACTGGCTGTATGTATGTGTGTGGCTTAATCTTGACCGGCTTGTATATATGTGACGACCCCACCTCCCCCTAAGGCGTACCAGAGGGTTTGGCGGACCGCCTGCCCAGCTCTCGCCAGGACTCACTCACTAAAATCATGTGCACACACCCCAAGCACCATTAATAATATCCGCAATCCCAGCTTATAATTTACATTGATAGAAACCAAAGTACAAAGTCTTGATATACTTAAACTAGTTCAAAATATATACAATCCAAGTACAAATGTTCCATTCGAGGAATAGCGCGAGTACAAAACCAAAATTCAAAACACAGTC